AAAACTGTAAAGTGTTTCTTCTGGAAAAATAAATTTTATCAAGCTATCATCTATTCTGCGTGCATTCAATCCTTTACGAACACTTACGCGCATAACAATACTTATTGTTTTAGAGCCATATTTACAAAATCATTTCATCTGTTAAAATATTATTATCTTAAAATGATTATGTGTTAGCCTTTTTTTACAATAAGCTTAAATGTGTTATTGCTTAAAAACTCTTCTATTTGGTTCTCATATACTTTTTTTACTTCCTTGTACGAAGTAAAAAGGAAGTATTGTAATCGCGAAAAGTTTCCGGCAGCATATTTCAACGAAAATATCCATTTTGACCGCTATCGAATGCAATTTAACGATGTTTTTGTATGATATCTGTACGTAAGGACAGAATAAAACACCCTTTTCCTTCAAAAAAATTATAAAACTGCTTTAAAATTAAATCTGAAGAGAAGTTTTCGTGGCGTCTGTACGAACGTATGTACGTAGTATCTCGCATAACTCAAAACGAGTAGCCTCAGAACGTTGAAATTTTGTATATAGGACTGCAACATGTAGATGTGCACCACGTATTTGGTTGCAATCGACCGCACCAAACGTATATAAATATATTTATATATATAATCCACTCTGTTACCCGGCTCAGTGATCTCAGTTTCTTTACTCTTATATGTTTGTACAGCCCCACCAGCGGCGAGCGGTAAAGTCGCTGACACTGGTAGTTCGGTCCGAGGTTCGAATCCCGCGAACGGGCTGGCTGCATGCGTTTTTCGTGGTTTTCCCCATGTGTAACGTGTATACGAGCCAGTTTCCCTTAGAAGTCCTCCACGAAGGCACCCCTCCTCTTAGGCGTATAGCCCTCGAGGCTTTGCCATAATCACACACCCCTTATATGTTGTAAATGTACATTTTTTTGCTTTAAAATGGTTTGAATTATGTTTTTTTATCTTTCGGTTAAGGATTTTATGCCTTTAGTAAATCTGTGTGCAATATTTTAGATTATCAGCAATTTTTAAGTTTTTAATTGCCGCCAAGCCTGTTTTTAATGGCGCCATGATGTTTACATTTGACAGGAGACTAGTGGATTTGTTGCCAATCTAGAGACACTTAGCTTCGCAACAACAAAGATAACGCATTCATTTTATTATGCCAATTAAATCATGCTTATTCTTTCTGGAATTTTTTCGAGGAAATAAGTGTTTGAGATTTACTTCGTAATTTTAATATACATCTTTTGAGTTTTTATGTATTTTTGCCTTCTCGCGAAGTGAGAACTGAATTAATTAAATGAGAAATACTCAATCGTCTGTGAAAAACTTTCTTTTTTGTTTTGTTTGCTTAATTTCTTTTATACATCATTCTAGCTTTATTATAGTATTTGAATAGAACATGTGGCAACGATTAGATAATTCTACTCTTTAAATGATATAAATTTTGTGCATTATGAGTTATAATATGAACGAAATATATACGTTAACTGTTATATAATTATTAATACAGTTAAGTGAATCTAGTGTCAGAGTGTCGCTATGGTAAACAAATACTAGAGTAAATTTTAAAGAATGCATTTATTCTATTGTGGTTTATGCGCTGTCGGCGAAGTAGATTTAATTCAATCCAATAAGTTTAAATGAAATGCAAGAAAAAATGCGTATAATATAATATTCCAATTTATCCAATACAAGGAAGTCATGTGGTGTACACATCAGATTTTTTATTCATGGATCAAAAGTTGCATGACATATTTATTGCAATTAAGAGGACACTGAAATTTTTATAAGGGATAGAAAAGGCATTAAAGCCCAGTTAATCCCTCCGCTCCATAAAAAGAAGATTGCTTAACTGAAATTACAAATTACAGTCTACTTCTTATTTTGGAGTAAAAAACCCGGCTAAATAAATTATTTAATATTAAGCAAATACCATTTTAAACTTGGATACTGAATTTTAGTTTCTAGCACATTTTTTTATACCCATAGGAGACATATTGGGACTTTAGAACGAATTCTTCAGTACGGTCGTACTCGGAAAGATGTTGCGCATTACTACTGTAAACATTTAGACACAGCCATATTTTTATGGCTTTACTGATGGGTAGCGTTATATTGCTATTGTCATATCATAGCAAACTGGTTGCACAGGTGAAGGTATTTTGATTTGAAGGCCATTTTTGAATGAAGTTGGCGCTGTTTTACAGTAATCTCTTTTGCTATTATTAGAGTAGCTTAGTTTGTAATTTATTTAGTTATGAAGGCATTTCTGTCCCAGCTTTATTAAAAATGTCTGCTTTTTTAAATGGTTTGCAAAAACTAAATGTCTATTTTTAGCTGGAATGTGCAAAAACAAAACAAAACAAAACAAAACAAAAATGGTACAGCGGAGTTTAAAAAACTATTATTCGGATGAATTATTTTTATGTTTTGATAAGAATTAAAATTAAGGATGGGATATTCGAATTGCCCGAATTTTATGAGGGATTCCATATTGGGAAAACTCGTATCGTCATGCAATTTTCATCATTGGAATCTTGCGTATATCCTAATCTAAGCAACCTTTAACTGTTTTGCTTTGATTTAAAATTTTGGAATTTTTGTATTGACGTTCAGTAAGAACATTCATTAATAAAAGCGTAAAAAGGCAAACAAAAATTAATTAAAAATAGATTAATGGAATTTTGGTCGATCTGGACCATCGCGTGGCGGCCTTGAGTGCCATATTTAACGATTTTGTGGGGATTTAGCTTTCCACATTGAAAACTTATCTGAATTAATTCTCTAGATGATCTTTTTTCTTCTATGCTTGTTTAATATTACGAAGATTCAGAAAAAAAAGTTTTAAAAAACTTATTTTTTAACTGAATGCAAAATTAGGTAAAATAATCAGTTTTAGATTGAAGTAAATTTTGAATAAAAGTCTATTGATTTAAAAAAAAACAATCAGATACAGGTCTCTGTTCTTCAAAAGAAAAACCTATGTTCGCTAATATCAATTTATTATCTAACAAGAATAATACTGATTAAATAATTTTAGAAGAATCACTGGCTTGTTTCTTTTTTATTTAAACTGCTACTCAAATATTTTTGTGAAATTATATTGAGAAAATAAACCACAAGATCCAACAGTTTTAACAGTATGTTTTTGTTAACTAAACGTCATTTGAATTTTCGTACTAAATATAGATGTATTTTTCAAAATTGAATTCTTAAAGTTGTTTCTTATTAAACACAAATTTCAAATTTTGCTATAATTTGTAAGGATTATGTTTATTTAATTAACAGTTAAATTCTGAGTTAAACTTCCTTTCCTGTCCCTTCTGAACTTCAATTTACAACTTTAGGCCAGAAGGTAGTTTTAGAATCACGTTCGAATGCAAATGAGGAAGAGCGAAGTTCTACTGTCTGAGTGAGAGAGAACCAGAGTTTCTGGCTAGCACGCGTCCGCCTTTTTTAGGCTACTCTCTCTTAAGCCATTGTTACTCTCGGTCGTACTCTAGGCCTTTGATAGCTTCGCAGTCAGTTAGCGTTAAGGGGCCAATTCCGTTAGAATCTTAATAGCTTCGGCTATATCTTTTAGTTAAGATTAGTTAAGTTTTAATTCTTAGTTTCTTAAGTTCAAGCCTAAGTTTCGGCTTTATTGTAAAACTCCAAGACAGGAGTTCTGTTAAATCTTATTTGAATAATAAAGGGTCTTTTAACCCTTTCCAAGCTTTAATTATTGTCTCACGAACTCAAGCGATTATTCGCTTAGTAGTTAGTTCTTAAGATTCTTCACATTCAACTGTAACTTAGAACACACAGTACAGAATCTTTTTAAATTAAAAACACTTAATATTAAGTAAAAGTTTTTTTCTTTTCTCTTTTCACTATGTAACGTTGTTTTATTTTAATTAATGAGTTATTATGATTTAGACCTTTACTGTCATTTCTTCTTTCCGTTTCCAAGCCAAAATGCAAATTAACTGGAGTGTATTTAAGCTGAGGTTTTTAGACTGTAAGGGAATGCGTGTTCTGCCTCTTGAAGCCACGTTGCTAAGTTGTTTTTAGCTCAGATAAGATTTGTAGTCTGCAGTCTTGGATTATAATTAGCCTTGGATGCTGATGTTTGAATATCTACTCCAATTAGGTTTGGCAACCAACTGCGCGTTTGTTTGATTTGCGAAGCCTTCGGTTACCAGCTTACTTAAATTTACATTTTACATTTGACTGTTACTTTAAGTTACATTGTCACAAGTGGTTGGCTGAGTTGTAAGCACCAGGGGTGTCTTCTGTTCCTCTTTAGTTTTAAACAGAGTCTTTTGCATACTTTTTAAATCTCAGTTGTTATTTCAGACTTAGTGATAATTCTCTGTCAGTACATCTAAAGTTGGGTTACAGTTTATGGTAATAAAAAGGACTAACCTTTATAACTATTATTACGTAAAGTATTGAAAGGATCTGAGAAGCTTTTGAATTCGAATTCGAATTCAAGAAAGTTCAGGTTTCGTCTTACCTCTAGTTAAAATGCAAAATGCGTGCATTGCTAATTGATTTGTAAGTAATTGTATATAATTAATGCATGTTAAACAACAATAAGTAATTACAAACATCATAAAACCCGGAAAATAGAATGAATTATATAGTTATAAAACCAGAATAAATGAAACTGTAATTATAATGTTTAGCCGCATGAATAATCAATATATAGTAGTCATCCATAATCCTAACGTGATAGATGTGGATTTAAGAAGAAGAAAAAGTGCTTTATCAATTCGATTGAAAGTTAATTTCTTATTAATCCTTAAAGTAAATGACCATGAAATAAAATAAAAAATATAAATAATTTAAAGGAAATCAAACAATGTTGTAGCAAAATATGGCAACCAAATATATGGATCAAATATCTGGCATTAGAAGCATGTTTTCTTAATTTCAATCATACTAACACCAATCTAACAGCTATCTTAAAGTGTTATATCCTGTATGTCAGTAGAAACTCCCGTTGTTAGCCAATCATTAGCCAAGTAATCACGTGTTCTAGATGTACGCAGTACATCTTCAGTATTTTATTACTACGTTTGTACAAAATCTAAAGTTGAAGTAAACAACATTATTACTTTTTAGTCTTCAATATACAATTTTTAAATACATAAGCCTCTGTTATAATTTTCTGAACCTCTAAAGTGCTATTAAAATAACGATTTTCGATGTGACACTTCTATTTAGGAGAGATAAGTTGAATGCAGATGCCAAATCTGGTGAGTAAGGGAGGTGGATAAGAAGTCTAAGATTTTTCTTCGCTAAAACTTGCTTGATGAAAATGGAATTATATGACAGGCCTTACATTCTGAATTCTGTTCGGATGTCTGTCTATTATAACTTTGTAAACTTTTGTAAAATATGGAAGTTTCCTACAACGAATCGTTTTCGAACTGTCCCTTTCCAGTCAAAAATAAACAGCAATGTGGCCTTATTTTGAGATTCCTAAAATCCAAGTTTCTGAGACTCAAATGAATCTTGTGCATTACAAACAGTTTTTCTCTCCATAAGCAAAACACTAAGTTTCGTGTTCAGTCACAGTTCTTTGAATCATGTCATGCATAAAATCGGTTCTTCATTCTGTTTTCCAGGCAATGTAAAAATTATACTACTATGTTGAAATGTATATTTCAAGATATATAATGATTGTTTATCATAAGCATTTTCGCATCCATCACGAAATCGTTTGTACCAGAGAAAACATTGCAATCATGTTAACCCTTGATTTCCCGTACACTTTACATGATACTTCAAATCCTCCATTGCTATTATCTACGTTTTAGAGAAAAACGTTATTACTGTTTATTCTTCAGCTTTCAGATCCATGACAGTAGATGGACAATTCAATTTAAATCTAACGAATTTTATATTGATCTCTTTGAAAATACTGTAGAGTAGAAAAACCGGTGGGGATAATTTTAACTTTTGCAGGAAAACACTTTGACGAAAGAAAGTTATCTGATAGCAAATTATTCAAAGAATAATTATATTGAAAAAATAAATAAAAGCTGAAAACTAAAACAACGATACAGGCAATAAACTTGGATTGCAGGATTACAAAATGGAAGGAGAATTTTCCAGTTTCAGGAATTGCCATGTTTTTTTTATCAAATCTGTTGTTAATTGCTGTCCATAAAATACTATTGTTTTAATCTTTAAGTAATTCAACATAAGTACTCTTTAGCGCACGAATAAGGAGGACGACGTTTTTAATGGTATCAAATATAAGTAAGTACACATGATCCCATTATATCTTGGTAAAAAAGAGCTTACAGCCACGTAATCATTTTCACCCAGACGGACTAGTAGCTCTGATTGGCAGGCACCAGGAGTTCGTCCACAGCTTCTTAGATGTCCGGGAGGGTACATCATGGACACATTAAAGGAATGTCTTCTGATGTAGAAGCAATGATGTAGAAGCATCGTGGTAAACGTCGGGATTCGATCCAATGAGCTAGCCGATCTTGTGTGAAACTAAACTTCATGAAATTATTTTCAGCTTCTCTGGAATGCAGATGAAAGGCAGGTTTCTGATACTTTCTCTCGGGGGTCTAAACAAAGAATAAAACAGAAATATGTTCATTAGTCAAATAATCATGATTTAATGTATTAATACATTTTATACAGTTGTCGCTGCCAAATTACTTTGTTAATATATCGGATAGTATTTTGACTGTAAATGTATATTTAACATTAATTTCGCCCTCATCAAATAACTTTTATAAGAAAAATAAGCGATTATCAATGTGTTTAGTTTCAAAATAGCGAACAAGGTTCTTTGCCAAATACTGTGCATTCTGATTATCGTTTAATAACAAAATTGGTTTTGCTACTTTTTCCGAAAAACCAAGTTGTCTTAGTAGTAAGCACAAGTACATCAATTCTTTGGAAGTTTCGATAATGCAAATGTTTATTCATTTGTTTGACATCAGTGCTTGATAGCGCTACAATATTTTGCTTTCGCAGTTTCTAGAGAAACCTTTTAAAAATATAATTATTAAAAGATTTTTTCTGCCCAGTCATCATCTACAAGTGTATTTCTGCCCAGTCATCATCTACAAGTGTATTTCTGCCCAGTCATCATCTACAAGTGTATTTCTGCCCAGTCATCATCTACAAGTGTTTCTGCCCAGTCATCATCTACAAGTGTATTTAGGCTACTGCTTTGAATCCAGTGAAAATGTTTTAGTTTACTATAACACCGACAGAGAGTCTACTAACGGAAAACTTTCAGTGTCGGGTCGTGTAGATGCTAATATCTGATTAAGAACTCATACTTAATTTTGTCCATACTTAATTTTTCTTTGGAGACGTTAATTGTCCATACTTAATTTTTGTTAATCTCTGAAGATTTGCAAAGTTCAATATTAGCTCACTGTTGATAGAAGCTTATACTTTACGTACCATACTTGAGCAAAATTCTTTTATGTGTTGAACTTGGCTAATCTATGCATTTCTGTTTTCATTTTGTCCATTTGTTTTTTGTTTTGTTTCCATTTTTTATTTCTGTTGAGTTATTTCACACCATAGAAGTTATTGACTCACACCGTAGGACAGTGCAGTGAATTTCGATAAATTTTTAAAATAAAATGAAATGGAAGGGACACCGACACCCTTCGAAGCAATTGGTCATCGGGACCTATGGCTACTAAACTGATGATCAACACATGAGATCACTAATGTGAAACAATGCATTAAATTTAGACCAATGATTAAAATCAAATTAAATCGAAGGACACCGGTAACTGTAATAACGATGGTCAATGGCGGTGACCTATTAAGTTTTTAGTCACTAGTATGGAGTAGTACAATATTGCTGTACAACACTTTCCAGAATGATGAAATATAATTACTTGAACGCTTAATGTAACGTAACCATAACGAAGGACTGCACTAAAGAAAAGAATGCACTAAATACCTTTTGGGGATCAGTGTTTAAACACTTGTCTTATAATTTGCTTTATGAACTGAAAATTTCTTTTTTGATAACTCATCAAGAGCTTTTAAATTTCTAAAATTTTATCTAGAAACGAAAATGAAAACAGATTTCAAAGAAATAATTTTCTACAAATATGTTTTGATATTAAATACAGTATGTTATAACTAAAGCTTTTCAGAAAATTCCAGAAATTTCCAATCCATCATCATGCGATGAATTTATTTCCAATTCCATTCCATCATCGTGCGAAGATTTTCTCTGTTGCAACTAATTATTAATATGAGGTTCTTTAGCCACGTATTATCATCAACGTATTATACATCAATTGTGAGATTAATAATGTAGGATTTTTGATTTAAAAAAAAATTAAGTAGTAATTGTGAAAAACTGTGTATTTCATTGACTAATTATAACATTATTTTTATAAGCATTCAGTAAAGTTGTTACGCCATACATTGCTCGCTAGAAAGAGCGCGTTCGTGCTATTCGTATAAAGCTAAAAATAACTTATTTCTACTTTTAAAATGAATGAAGTTTTCTGGGATTGTGTTTCAGAGATGTGACAACACGCGATTATTTTTATTGTAATTGTGTTCTAAAAGTATAAGTGAGTTGTGTTTCCAGTTTGTACGTTGGAGCAAAAGTAAAATATTTATAATATTTATTGAGTAGAATTTTGATTTCCAGCCCATTCCACAAAAAGGTCGCCTCAGACGAAAGCATAAAACTTTCTGAGACTTGTATATATTATTTTGCTCTATAAAGGTTTAGAATACTTGCTGTAATATTTATAAAAAACAGTTAGCTATTGTTGTAAAGCTTTTAATGTAGTACAGGTAAGTATTTTTATCCCCGGAGCAAATTTTAGAAAACTGAAGTGTTCGTTCTAAATCTCTGTTAAGTTACTGCTGAAACAAAAAATCTTTTAGGTAGCGGTTGAAATGAATGTCAAGGTGCTAATTAGAATCATCCTATTCGTGATAAGGCAATATCTGATTGCCACTTTGCTATCAATGCGCTACCTATTGAATGAAGTCGAGAAACACAGCTAATAAATAAATAAAAATAAATGCATAACTCTACCAAGTATTAAAAAGCAAATATATATATATTTTATATAAAAAATTAAAGCAAATAAACACGCACAAAAAGAAATAAAAGTAAAAGTTATAAAAATAAATATCAAAGAAGTAATCATCTAAAAGAATATGGCAATATGTTCATTTGAAATCAAGCTCATCACTCTGAATAACTGAATATTTTGAAAAATCGCCCCCTGAATTAGTTAAATTAAAAATATAGTTATTTTTGTAAACTTTTATTTAGTTCACTCATGGTGATTGATTGTAGGCGGAATTTTGTCACCGATTTTTAACTTACTTCCTGATAAGCTAGCGAGTTTAAAAACCGAAGTCTTCGCAAACTTGCATACTTAAAATAAGAGAAACGCTCATCCCCGTCCATTATCCGGTCCGTCCGTTTCCTAACTCCCCGTCAATTAATTCCCAAACTGGTGCCAAGATTTGAATTGCCATTCTTTCTACTTCCTAATAAAGAAGTTTCCATTAGCCTTTTAGGACAAGCTTTCCGCAATAAGCTGATACAATGCATAACTCCACCTGCATACCTTCGGGAGAGGGAAGAAAACAACATCGCAATCTCGGCTGCGTCGGGTGGTTGTGGCCGTTGGAATGAAAGGTTGTCTCGGGTATTTCGGCCTTCCGAAAGTTAAACTGTGTTACACAAATTATTTGTAGATGACAATGAAATGTGGTGTAATGATTTTTCTTGTGGTTTATTTTTTCAATCTAATGTTTAAACAATTTTTCTCACATACCTTCATTTAACGAATGAACCAAGCATACTAGAATTTTACTATTTGCATCATCGATTAGAGCCGAAACAAAAAACTTTTCATGAAAATTGTACGAAAATTGTAACTTCATTTCTGAATTTTGGTGAATATTTGAAAATTGCTAGATTTTTTAGACTATTTGATGTTTATGATTTTAAAATTTCAACAATTAAAAATGTATCTGAAATACAGTTCTGAAATTTTCACAGAATATAAAACTAACTCTCGGCCACTTTTTAAACAAAAATGATAAATAAATAAGAATTGAGCGACTTTCTACATTAAGAAAAATGTGTTGCAATCTGAAGGAGAGGAGAGAAAAAAATGTTTCTCGCCTGGAAAAATTCCTGTTGAGTTTGCCATCTTGGCACACTCAGTGACTGATTTTGCCGTCTCGGAGCACTTAATGACGAATTCGCGATATTCCGTTTTCAGTTTAGCGTCGAATAAAATGCTTGTTGTAACATTTTATTACATTCAATTTCCGAAACTGAATTCTTCGTTCTCTAAATGACTTTTAATTTTTTCTCTTTATTTCATTATTTCTTTATAGTTTCTTCTTTGTGTTTTAACAATGATTAAAAATGTTATCATTGATAACGTGTTATTGAGAATAAAATACATGATGCGTACACCACATGATTTCGTTGCGCGGATTATTAAATTATATGCATTTTTTCTTGCATTTCATTTAAACTTATTGGATTGAATTAAATCTACATCGTCGCATAAACCACAATAGAATAAATGAATTTTTTAAAATTCACTATATTTGCTTACCATAGCGACACTCTGGCGCTAGGTTCACTTAACAGCGTTACATTTCATCCATATTATAACTCAGAATGCCTATAAATTTATATCATTTGAAGAATTATCTAATCGTTGCCACATGTTCTGTTCAAATACTATAATAAATCTAAATGATGTATAAAAGAAATTAAGCAGCAAAAACAAAGAAAGAAACAGTTTTTCACAGACGATTCAGTATTTCATTCAATTAATTCAGTTCACTTCCGACAAGGCAAAAATACATAAAACTCAAAATATCTAATTCAAAATTACGAAGTAAAATTTTGAAAGCACTTATTTCTCGAATAAATTCCAGAATGGATTAAGCATGATTTAATTCGAAATAATAAAAGAAGGTGTTATCTTTGTTGTTGCGAAGCTTAGTTTCTCCAGATTGGCAAGAAATCCGCTAATTTGCCAAGTTTAAAATGTAAACAAACATGTCCACCACCGCAAAATTCATTAGGCTTAGCTGCACTTAAACAACTTTTAAATCGTTCATAACTCCACAAATATTGCATGCAGATTTACTAAAGACATGAAAACCGTAATCGGAAGATAAGAACAACATAATTCAATCATTTTAAATTCAATTTCAAAGCAAAAAAATGCACAATTTACAAACATATAAGAATAAACGAACTGAGCTCACTGAACCGAGCAACAGAGTGGATATATATATGCATATATTTATATACTTTTAGTGCGGCCGATTGCAACCAAAGTACAAGGGGCACATCTACATCTTATAACACTCCTACATACAAAATTTCAACGTTCTGAGGCTACTCATTTTTGAGTTATTAGAGATACGTACGTATACACAGACACCACGAAAAATTCTCTTTAGAATTCATTTAAAATCAGTTTAATTTTTTTGGGGAAAAAGAGTCCTTTATTCTGTTCTTACTTGAGTATGTCACACAAAAAGATCATTAAATTGCATTGGATAGCGGCCAAAATGGATATTTTCGCTGAAATATGATATCCGAAATTTTTCGCGAATACAATACTTTCTTTTTACTTCGTACAAGGAAGTAAAAAACAAAAACAAAAAAAAAAAAATAAAAAAAAAAAAAAAAAAAAAAAAAAAAAAAAAAAAAAAAAAAAAACTCAAAGGTTTCAGATTTTAAATTACGCCCAAAGAGTGTTTTTAAAACATTTTGTGTGTTACCTTTATTTATTAATTACTATGTGCTTCGCACTTTTAAACCGTAAAATTCAGTTCAAGAGCAATATCAAAAAATAATTTTAAAATTAGCATATCTTTAGAATTTCCGATACACAGTTCTCACGCGCTGGAGATAAAAATTTTTTTTGTGTACAACGTTCCCATTGCTGGCTTTGAAATCCTTGAGTTTGTTAATCAAAATTTCGTTAAAGTTTTACAAATAATCGAATAAGGAAGGAAATCCATAATAAAACAAAATTCAAAATTGGATGGCTCTAGGTACCGTTGTTTTATCACAGTGCGAGAAACATATAAACATTCATGCAGATTCTTCATTATTTAATTTCTTTAAAAATAATACAAGGTGATAATATTTGGTGGCAACAATTTGAAAAGTGAAACAACGCTTGCAGTGAATCAACGCAAAGTGCTAAAACGAAATTAATATTCCTTCCGGGCAAATTGCTCCTTTTGACCAATAATAAAAGGTTTTGATAAAATGAAGTTAATATTAAATTTAAAATGACTGTGGTAATTAATGCACTAAATGACGAAAGGTAATTTATCATATAGTTTAACGGGAAGAATAAATTAAGTAATTCTATCTACAGTATTCACCTACAATTTTATGTCTCGAATAATAAAAGCGTGGGGTGCCTAAATAACGAAACATATTATCTGCATTTTCAAATTAAACTACATGATAAATTATTTTTCTCCTTTTAATGCATTAATTATCATATCCATTTTAAATAACATCTTATGCTATAAGAACCTTTTAAATAAAATTTTATTAATTGAATAAATCCTTTTCATTTCCTTGCATTTATTATTTACTTGAAAATCATACATAAGTGAATGGAAGCATGATAGAAAATGTGCGCATGGTATCGGAAATTGAAATTTGCGTGCTTTGTCCGAGCAAAAGCTAGCTGCACGGGATGCAGTAAACTATACATCAAAACATACCTATAAAATTATTTCAAAAAATTGAGTTTCATCATTTTGGTAGCAGATACTTTAAGTTATCTTAAATTAGTAGCTAATTGTCTAAATTCTTAGACAGGCATTTAATTATTATTTGACTGAAACCGGTTTCCTAACTGACTGAAATTCCTTTCAAATACTTTTGATTTAGCAAAGAGTACAGCTTGTTTTGAAACATGCCTTGCAAAGTTGAGTCTTTCAAAGACACATGGCGACTGCATGATAGTTATGATGAAGGTTTAAGTTGCCGTCGAATAGTTACGAGATCACAGACAGCATTTTATCGAGTGAAGAATAGTGAGTCACATTTGAACATCTTCTCGAATCCCATTTGTCACCAACTTCCAGATCACCCTCATTTGTTGGACACTATGAAAGGTAAATTTGGCAGCATACCCAGGACAATGGTAACCAGAAGCACAGGAAAGTTTTTAGAAGAATCAAAAGAACTTTGCAGTTCGTTGGCACCTTACAAACAGCAGGGTGAAATAAAAAAGAAATGGTCATTTTGGTTTTGGTAATGCAGATATTTTTGTTGTTTAGATAACTCTAAAGCATCCTAGTCAAAAATAAAGATCTATTTGCACATTAATTTAGTATGTGTAAAAACGCTTTCTTCTTATGGAGTGATTTGTGAAATAAGATTATTAACAGCATAATTTCAGAGCAAAATGATTTGTCTATTACCCTATCTCTTGCTAAACAATACTATGAAGTTAAGCATTTTACTTCATATTAAAAATAACGATATTTTGGGAAGCGACCATCGCCATCGCGCTTAGTCACCAAAATTAGCAAACTTAATCGCCCAGTTTCTGAAAGGCAAATTTCAAATGACACCAAGACCTTATGCGCTAGCGTCTTTGAGGCTCAAGAAGAATGCTATGAGGACAGTCAAAATGTTGGTTGAAAACCACTTTAAACACCGATTAAAATCTGTAATTTTTTCATGCGTTTTTACTAAAGTCGCTGCCTTGGTTGCCAGAATTGGTAAATCTGATCACTAACTGTTTAACAAGGTGCTTTTAAACATCACTAAAAAAGGCAAAGGTACTGGTGATGGCCCTTAATACGAAAGTAGCGTTATTTTTTCCACACTGAAATGAGCGTATTTACGTCTTATGCGATCCCTGGAAATGTTCACGCTAGCGTATAACGATTTTGCGTCTAATAGTTGCGTATGTAATGAGTAGTGCGAAAGGGTTTCTAGAAATCTGTCATGTTATCCTTGAGGATGCTGTCATTTGCATTCATTCTACTGTTTGGAGAAAAATTAAATAAAAATATGAAATTCACCGTCAACGAAAGAAGATGCCACATATTATTTTTAGTAACATGGAACTCCACATTTGAAAAGCAGTCCGAAAATGATTGTAACAGCATATTAACTTTTTCGATATCAGGTAAGCAATGATGATGCAGAAATTTTAACTGCCAATTTTACTGCCAAGTCACTTTTATTTACGTTTATACTGTTGCGTCCTGCAGCTTCATACAATTCATAAAAGATATAAATAGGCTATGTGAAAGTAAAACTTAATGCGCTTTCAAGGAAAACAAGAGATATTATAGACGGTACAGAAAGCTAAAAAGGAAACGCAAGGAGGAAAATGGAGGCAAATTAAAATTCACCTTAAAATACAAGAGATCTTTTACCGAAATTCCTGGCAAAGACTATAGCAGCAATCACTAGCAAAATGTTCAACAGGATAAAAAAAGAAATCCTCTCAATCTAACTGATTCGCACCTGGTCACCTTCCTAATTGTAACGTGACTCGAAGGAAAGCGTAAGCACTTCTGGAAGCTTTAAGGAAAATGCTTAAAAGATGTGCTTTACGGAAACTTCCAGAATGCGGCAAGTTGGCTAGAAATCATTAAATAATAGCAGTTTGGCTACAGAACTTCTAGTCATGTCTGATCATAGGTTTATTCTTGCTCATATTTACGTTGTACCTGAATTATCTTTGCAAGTCAAACGTCAATCGAAGCAGAATTAATAAGATCCACAACGAAATTCATGAAATACATACTACAAACATGCTAAGTATCCGGCAATTAAACATTAAATACTGTACACCATAAATAAGCATTTGCCGCTAAAAATACACTAATTAAATAAATAACTAAAAAATAAGTAAATACATATATATACAGGGTGATTCTAAATTGTTTCTACAAATTAAGAGGAGTCATAGTACTTACTGATCTAGATGAGCAATAATTACCATAAAACACAGGTCGCATTCCACTCTGAGAGGCTGGAATATTATAATTCCAACCTGAACTTAAAGAGTGTAGGGAGAGTGAATGAACGATAGCAGAAGTTGCAAAATCAGTTTAGTGAAAAACTCACAGAGATTGCACAAAACGGATAAAACCGGAAAATTGGCTTTCGATTCGAGCTCAAACTTTGATGGCAAACACCCAAATACACATCTTTGGTTAGCAAGGTCTCAACCTCGCAAAGGATTGCAACGAGTTAATTATCTAAATTATTAGGGGGAAATTACCTATTAGAGAGGAAACCTTCATATCAAGTATCCAAGGTAGCAGTTTTTACTCCTTCGCCATTTTCTATCCTGTTCTCCTGGACTTACTGTGCTGAGCTCATTTTACTTGAAGCGACCTTCTAATAGGATACGAAGTTCTGATAGCCCGAACACAGCATGAAGTTTTCATGCTAATCTCGGCATACAGCGGAAGTTGGAGTTAGTTGATAACATTCAGTCCTCGATTAGATACGAGTAATTAACTTGTTGCAATCCTTTGCGAAGTTGAGACATTGCCAACCAAAGATGTGCATTTGAGTATTTGCCATCAAAAAGGAAGGAGTCATTCGAGTCTGAGCTCGAATTAACACTCGAAAGCCAAGTTTTCGGTTTTATCCGTTTTGTGCACTCTCTGTGAGTTCTTCACTAAACTGATTCCGCAACTTTTGGTCTCGTCCATTCGCTCTCCCAGCACTGTTGTAAGTTTCAGGTTTTAATTGTAATATTCCTCTTTTCTGCCTTTTAGAGTGGAATGCGACACTATGTTCTATGGTAATAATTGCTCATCTGTATCAGTACTATCATCCCTCTTAATTTGTAAAAACAATGTAGAATCACCCTGTATTCTAAATGTACCAGATAATATAAATATATTCCTTCCCAGATAATATAAATGTATTACAAATATTTGGTGATAAGATTATTAATTAAAAAATATTTTAATAACTATTAATTATTAAACTGTATATACCTGGAAACACTTAACTTTTGACAATAAATACAGACACAGAATAAATAAGATTTAGATTTTTATATGCTCTACTGGAATTTTAACAGGCTTACATTTTCACCGAATACTGACTTCTTCTATTTTTTGGTTTTCATATCTGCTGCCACGAAAATAAAGCAAAAATAGAAATGCATAATCAATAATAAAAATCTGGGGCGACAACAACACCACCTACACAGAATGATAAAATAATACAAAAAATATTTTGAAACTTAACATAACATCCCCGGCTGAACACTCAAGTTGAAAATGACTACATAGAAAGAGGATAGTATTTGGAACTTGGACGCCGGTAAAGTCTAGTCGATGTTTTTACATCATGAACTCGAATGACTCCTTCCTTTATAGGAAAAACTTCTGTGGTTCTTCCAATATTCATCTTCCTCGAGATACACCAAGCCTTCCACTTGAATATTCGTTTCATACGGATTCCACTTTTTTCGTAGTAGTTCGCTCAGAATTTTGTTTCGGTATCTTGATCAAAACTGATTACGACGTTGCAGAATAAGATGACATTTTGACTTTAAACAAAGCGCTACGTTTGGAGCTTTCATAGGAACTCCGATTAAAAGATGCCTCAGAGTAAAGAGGTTACAAATTTTGAGGATCTGAAGCAAGAGGTGTCATTGGGCTGGAATGAACACATGTTTCAATCTGTAGATCTCTACACAGAAGGAAAATATTCTTCTGATACAACTATTGAGGGCCCTGCCACCACCAAGTGTGACATTTACGTTTTGCTACAGAAATGTCTTTCGAGCGCCACAGTATGCTGGATTTCTTGATTTTCACGTAATTCTAGGAAGCTTCTGAAATTTAGTTTTGAATTTTAGATATCCTTTTAGCAACTCAACTTTCCCTGTTTAAGGAGATGAACTAAGCCAGTCTAAAACGTTTTTGAGTTCGAGTATAAAATAGTCTGATTAATTTGAATATTCTTCCTTAAGGATGCTGGAATAACTTAATAGAATCGGAAACCAGAACTACACATAGTTCGAATCTTGGCAGCGTCTTCACAAGAGCAACTTTGAAGTAACCAATGAAATGCGGAATTCTCCATTTGCAAATTCTGTTCTTGAATAAAACACTTCAGCACATGCCTGTTCAAAAGCCTCACAAAAGTCAATTAACTGACTACTTTTAATAGAACTGTGTTTCATCAAGAATCGTGAAATCTTCTACATGTTCGATTTGAGATTTAAATATATTCCATGCTTGGGAAACACCATTAGTTAATAAATCATTTAAGCCCAACTTTATTTATCATTTAAGCCATTACTTTTCTTGCATAAATGCTGCATCAAGATTTTTAAATGAATCTTTGCTGACTATAAATACCCAAATGTATCCCAAATCTTCATGATAGTTGATAGAAGCTGGCGTTTTGTCAAGAGACCCACGGTAGGGAGTGGGTTTATCTTAGGTTTGAACGCATCTTCTTTAGCTTCCCAGATAATTCTTAAAATTATACAAATTTTTCTTCATTCTATCTGAAAAAAGTATGTTCAGCTTCTTAGTTTTTGAGATAAATATTCAGTGATTGATGGTTCATTGGGTACTCATTTTATTATTAAAAAACCGCCTTTCCTCCATGAGTTCGATAATTAGTGAGACTAATTGTTTTGCTTCCTCAATATTCTTTGCTCCCGTGTGAATCTACGTATTTTCCAATATGACTCTCGAAGCTTCTAGAAACTTGTTGCCAAGTTGTTTTAATGTTCGAATGGCTAAATACGGAGCACAATCAGTGCCATATGAAGAAGCAGATATTCAGGGTTTTTTCTCCAAAACATCCTTTGGAAATCGAAACCATTTTTATTGTCTAGAATTTGTCGGAACATTTATTTATACCTCCAGTGAGTGCGATACAGTAAGTTCTAAATTTTAATAGAATATTGGATAATTCATTTAAGTTTTTGACTTGTATGGAGAATATCATTTAAGGAAATTCTTGACTGATAAACACAACCCATAATTTGGTAGATTCACTTTAATCTCTAATAACTCCAAAATGAGGTTAAAAAACCCTGATGAGGATTTTAAAAAATGGACATTTGGACGACAATCTGCATATGAGTCACATAGTTTGATATTGCCGCATTAAGTATATACATTGAATTTTAAGCTATGAATTTTGTAGAAGTTTTCTTTCTAACGAAAAACTCTTCGCTTGATTTCTTGAATCATCCAAGAAAGCTTTATTCTTAAATAGGAGACTGACAACAAATCTATCATCAGAATTTCGACTAGTCTGATATTAATAAAACGCTTCGACATCCTGCTTTTCTTTATTCAGTATCTACATTTGTAACTGATACGACTTCTTAGTTTTTTCCCACCGAATTTTCCTTGTCTATTCAGCATGGCAATTGATTAAGGAACTATGAATTCAGTTTGAAGCAAGACACTTTTCCTGAGACGAGCCATCAAATTTTGAATTTAAAACGGATGGTTTGTTTGAATTTCTCACTATCTTTCCAGTATGGATTAAATCTAAGATGATATCTGCAACCAGAATGATGCCAATTCGTCTACTTATAGAAAAAGAAGGGTGTGCCATTGCAGTTCTTTCAGATGAGGCCAATTGAATTCTGAAATGCAAAGTTTGGTAAGTTTGACGTCAGATTTTTGATTTCTATAGCATTAAGAAAGAAGTTCTTGCTATTAAAATGAGGAGTAAAATTTAAATTAACTACTTCAGTAGCAAGTGCGGCAAGTGCAACAACTTTTCAAATCTTTTCTTGTATTCGATACACCCTCTGTAGCTGCTAACGTGTCAAAGTCCACAAAAAAATACATTTTGGCTTGTTCTCTGGTTTCATTGTACTTTGGTTGCTTCTGTGTTGTTACCCGCATTTCACACATCTAGTGGGGTTACTGCAACAATATTTAGAACCACCGAATTGCTAGCAGCGGAAGAACTGTACTGGTCTTTTCTTAGGGTTGAACTTTTCTATAATAATATTGAAACTGAACATGTTATTGAGCTGGTGAATCGTATTATCTTCTGGGGTCCTTTTTAGCTCAAGTAGAAAGATGGGAAGTTTAATTATTTCATCGTCGCGTCGTTTCGAAAACTGCTTTAATTTTTTAATGGGGAAGTTCCAGCGTTTAAGGTCTTGTAGGATATTTTCTTTTTTAAAAGTGGCGGGGATTTTCTTCAGGATGACACGTATTGGCTTTTCGAAATCAAATAGGTAGGAGTGGTAGGGGATTTTGTTTTCTAATAGTAGCTCGTTCATTGTACTGTAGTCCTTTAAATTCTTGGTATAAACGAAGATGGATTTTCCTTTCATTTGGCATCCGTGGGGATCAGTTCAGTTTCCGGTAAACATTTCGTCCAGTATCATCCAATCACACTTTTCGTGTGAAAATGCAATGGGCGGGGAAGAGACTTCCCGATGTCTCTGCCTTCCCGATTTTCTTCAGCAATTTTTCTAAGTAATAGAAAACGGTTCTCTTGTGGTATCTCCATCGGGATTGGCTTTTCTTGAATTTTTCTTGAATTGTTTTAAAGTCTTCTTTGGGGTAATCCACTGACCTTCATTTTCCGGAATAGTGGCAATTTGCTCCATTCTCTGCCTCTTGTTAACGAGCTGGTTGGTTTTCCTTGCATGTTTCAACACGTTCTGTACTTCTGGGGTTTTGCTTCACTTAATCGTTGTTCAAATTCCAAGTGTTGTTTCACATAGTCAGTTCCGAACTCCTGGATAAGTTCCTGTATTTTTTCTTCTTTGGGTTTTTCTGTATTCTTAATTTCCTTCTCCGGATTCGCATTCTCCTTCTTTATTTTCGCTTTTTTCTTGAGTCTGGGATCCTTCAAGAATTCCTCACGTTTTGAAGTAGATGCAGAGACAAAGTCGATAATCCAGAATCCGTACAGTAACTAGCGTCATCGTCCGTATTTACTGCCCTAAAAAAGGACATGCTTACCGTGACACCCTAAGGGATCACTCTCCGAAGTCTAAAAGATACTCAGTAAAGACTATAAGTAAACTCACTGACCACCTACGGGACTGGGTCAGTTTCGTAGAAAATTGAGCAGTAAACCAAAGTGCGTCCAACACGCTCGGAGTCACAGCTCAGAATCTGGTATACTTTGAAATGAAACAGAAGGTTCATCTTTACCGTGAACCTATTGGAGGTTTGCGCCACATCGATGCCGTGTTTCCTGACTAAGCTTTTCCTCAGTAATTGCGAAGCAGATATGAGAGCGAGTGGCTGTCAATTTAAGAATTTAGGTATAACAGGTTTTTAGTTTTGAAACTTAAAATATTGTTGTGATTGACTTGTATCTATTGTTCGCTTTGCATTGCACAGTGTTTAACGTTCTTAGTCGTTTGAAGTGTAACTACTTACTACACTGCGTGATACTGTGAACACTTGTACGAATACTTCTGTGGAAATTCCAGAGTTCTGAAATATTTCTTTTGATAAAAATAAATTTTTATTGACCTATTATCAGACTTGTGAATTTGATTTACGAGCCTGTAT